TTAAAATAAAATGACTAGAATTTACAAAATAACATGAAAATATTTCTGGAAAAATTATATTATAGTAAAATTATATTTGTGTAATGAAATCAGTAATCATCTACTATAATAAATAATTCATTATAGCGTTAATGAAGATTCTTATAATGAAATCCTGATCAGCTAGATTAGCAACTTTGTTATATAAAGTGACTGTATATTTTATTTTTACTTTTACAAATAATAACTAACTCAAAATAAAATCCTATTTAAGAAATAGCTATAAATATAGATAGCTTGATTATCTAATCTAGGTTATAAATTTTTTAAAAAGGTATAATTTATATTATTATGCATATAATTTAAAAAGAAATGAATATTTAAATTTATATTAATCTAAAATTAATATATTAAATAAAGAATTTTTTTAACCATAATAAGTGATTATATTCACTAGGATCACGTGATAAAATATATATCATATGATTTCATATTGATTTTTTTATTTATATAAATATAGCAAATTTTTACAATAAACATTAAAGTACATTATTATTACAATTATTAAAATACATTATTGCTAATAATAAATCTCATTATCATTAATGCTGTTTATTATACTTTGTTTTGTTTCTAGAATTATGTCCTGATTCTCCATAAACTTTATATATATATTATCATTTAGAACTATTCTCATCTACAACATATCTCTTAATATTATTAAAATCCTTATTTCTACCAATATTATTACATTCCTCAACATTATTTGTTCTTTCAATATTACTAGGTTCAATAACACTAAGAGGAATTCTTGATGATGATGATTGATCTGATACACAAATAAATAAATTTGAATTAGTTTGATTAATTGTGCTATTTTTAGTATTAACATGTGAAGTTATTTCAGAATATGATTTGATACAATTATTTGATGAATGTGTATGACATTTTTAAATAAAAGGATTACTAATACGCATTTCTTCATTTACATTTACAATTCCATCTTTTTTATAATCAATAAAACTAATTATACTAATTAACTCATTTTTATAGCCTAAATCAAGTGCTAAATTTAAAGCTTTTTTCATTTTTTCAAATCCATATGCATATTTAGTATTCCTTTGTAAACTTCAAATGTAAATGTTTCTGAATCTCTAAGCTTATTTAAATCAGTTACTATTACTGGTTCGTTACTATTACTCTACTGAAATTGTATTACAATCCCAATAGTTTCATCTTGAAAATTAAATCCAATACATCAGTCTTGAATATCTTCTGAATACCATCATTTGGAAATAAGACCAATATTGAATTTTGTGAATTTTGAATTTATTATAACATGAAAAAATGTGAACATACAAGCTTACGATTAATAATAGACAAACAAGTACATAAATGACTACCATCTACTAATAAAACAATGTAATGCTTATAGGATTTAGTAAGACTATAAAGTTTTCAAATTTCTGCAATATTAACAAATTGTAAGTCTTTTAATAAAAAAAGAAGAGAGGTTTGGGGCATATCCAATTGATCCTAAAAAAACCCTTTGTCATAATCACATTGATTGTCGTTCTAAAACAAATAATAATAAAATTTTTAGTAAACTAATCAATATTAATAATTTTTTGCAGTTTGCATCACATGTGGACGACCTGCTTCTATGCCTTCAGCACAGCGGTCACCACATTTTCCTCCTTTCAGTCTAACAGTCTTGAGCCCCCTTCAGAAGGAGGGATTTCAACTTAACTGTTGCTAATCCTAATTTCTAATCTCTAATTCCTAACTCTAATTCCTAACCTAATTCTTAACTCCTAATTCCTAATTCTAATAACATACCTTTATATTATTGATCACATCTTTAGACACATTGTTGCTCTATATAATAATGATCCAAGAATTTGTTGTTATTAAACTGATATGATATGTAGTGTTAAATACTTCTTTATTAATTTATTAATTGCAAAAAATACAGGTTCAATGATTGATGATGCTTAGTTTATAGGAAGACTTTGAAGACATGTATTATGCTGAGCCCATTTGGCTTCATTATCCAATATTTTTTGAATTTGTTCATGTAAATTACATAATGAAGTAGTATTTGTAGCACCTTCTTTGATTAAACGATTCATAACTTTAACTCATTGTGTGCTTTGAATGCCAGCTGTAAAGTATTTAATTTGAAAACATCTCACTTACATATAATGACAATTACTTAAGATGCGATTAAGATATTCTTCAGTAATTGGATAATTTTCAATCAATCGTGTCCATCCACGATAAAAATCTTCTTCAAATAAACTGTTTCGAGTATGTAAAAAATCTTTATAAAATTATTTGTAATTTTGTCCTAATTTGCCTACCAAATTTTTTCGCAAATTCTCTTGAATATGAAAAATGCAAAGAAAATGATAAGTATTAGGCATTTTCAAAGATATTGCATTCATTAAAGCGGGATCTGCATCTGAAAATAAATAAACTGGTTACATATTATGTGTTGATTGAAGAATACAGTCAAGAAACCATTCATAACTTTCAGTTGTTTCATTGTCTGATAAACACTGAACAACAAGACGACTTTTGGTATTATTATCTATTACAACCAACAGAGTTAAATACATATCAAACTAGTTGGTTCGACAAGTATTATCTGTTTGTACTACATCATTATACTGAATAAGGCACTGATGCTATACAGGTAACATCCAAAATAAACCTATAAGCCGGTTATCAAATGGATCGATTCTTGTATAAATAATCCAGCCGGGTTCATAATTTTTTAAGTTAAATAACTTATTAAGCATATTTTGAGCATCTCCATTTCGATTAGTAAGTGTGCTTTGAATCTTTGAATTGCATTGTAAAGATCAGTCTTATAAATATTTTGATCAGGAAAAGATGCTACTAATAACGGATATATTTGTATTGCACCCATGTTTCCTTTAGTTACATAAAACTCTATTCTTTCCAATATATCATTTGATAATCTGCGATAATTGGGAGCATAAAATTGTATATCAGGTATCATAGGATGATTGTGTGGTCCAGCAATACTTGTGACACTTATTGTTGACGATGATTTAGGATTTGAAAGATTTATATGCCACGAACACATGATTTTTCTAGAAGATCATTGTCGTTGATGAGATATATCAATAACTTTATTTGAAGTTGGATTGCAAGAAAAGCTCCATTCAAATGTTCGATGACGAACAATTCCATTATTATCACATTCAACCCGCTTACGGCGTAGAGAAAATCTAAGTAACCTTGCATATTGATTAAGTTTTATTTCAGCATCTTCCTATGAAATACAATTATCACCCTAATTTCATTGGTTTGAATAGGCTGAACTTCTTCATTATCTATCATATTTATTTCATTATCTTGGTCATCTTTAAATAAGATAAGAAACTTTTTTTTTAAAGAATTGTAATAAAAATAAAACAAAGTTCAAACAATCACTTACCATCCATATTTATCAGAAATAAAAGTAATGAAGATATTGATTGAGGTTGAAAATAATAAAGGTCACATAAAAAGAGAGGATAAGAATAACGAAAGTATAAAAGAGAGGATATGGATGACGAAGATGATGAGGATGACGAAAGTATAAAAGAGAAATAAGAATGGAAAAGTGTCATAGTAATTGATGTACGTAATTAATTGTGGTACAAGCAATTATACACGTGACTACGGTGATATTAACTACCCGTTATTCTAAAGGCCATTTCAAAGTTGATCGTTCGGATTTTGTGATTGGGTTATACAAACATTTCGACCAATAACATTTGCGATCAAAATTCGCTTTTTCGATCAATCAAAAATGTAGATCATTTTTGATCATGTTTAACGCGTTCTTTTTAATGTGTTCTTTTAACTTCGTTTTAATGCGATTTTTTCTTTTTAATTTTTTATCTATGGAATTTCCAAAGGATTTTTTAGAAAATACTTCAAAACATTTACTTT